GGATGCGGACCGAGGTTGCTCTAGGGACGTCAGACGGCAAATCTGGCTGGGAAAATAAGCAGAACCCGTGAATTACAAGATCCCAAGACAGTGCCAAACAATTCTCAGGCCGCTGTGTGCAGAACTGCCCGCGGGGTTCCCCCGAGATTTGGATGACACAGGGCAGGGGCACCAGGAGGGGCCGGCTATGGGGACTTCACGGTAGCCCACTCGCTGGCTTCCAGGGTCCTCCTCACTTTTGCCCTCTTTTTCTCTTGTTTAGCCCAAGGTCTCCCTGCAGAGCCAGACTTTTCCTTACCCCTCTGCCCGTCACTTTTCAGATAAACTTTTGGCACCATTTTTGGCTTGTCTCGTCCAATTCTTGTTCGAAGCAAGAAGTTTAACCAGCAAGTCAGTTCTAAAGGAACCACCGCTACCACAGTTGCCGTGTCACACGTGGCTGAGAGTTTGAGGACAGTGAAGAATGGACCGTTGATTAGGCAAGTGCTTGGTTCCTGGGGACCCTGATAAGAGCTGTTGCATCAGAATGTTCTGGAGAACAACTTGTTTTTTGTTTTTTTGTTTTTGTCTTTTTGAGACAGGGTCTCGCTATGCAGTTCAGGCTGGCCTTGAGCTCACTTTGTAGCCCACACTGGTCTCAAACTCTCAACGATCCTCCTGCCTCAGCCTCCACAGTACTACGATTACAGGCGTGTGCCACCACGCCTGGCTGAAGAACAACTTTTAAAAAATATATTGTACTAGTGCACGTTAACTTTACAAAATCTGAGTGTCAGTGTCTTTTTGGCTTGTGTCTAGATGTCCCCCAAAGCCTCCTGCAGTCCTAGGCGGGGCTTTTCAGAGGTTGCTTTTTGGAGTGTGTGGTGCTGGGGTTAAGGGTGTGTGGTTACTAAATTACTCACTGACGTGTTTGGCACAGTTCTGGGAGCGGATAATGGGAAGACCCACCCTGGGTGTGGGCGCCGCCAGCCCTAAGGCCGTGCAGCCTGGGGAGGACGCGAGGGAGAGGAAGAGGGCTGCTGTGGTCGCTTGCTACTTCACTGCTTTGCTGCCTTCTGCCTGCGTTTGGGGGCCCCTCTGCTGTACCTCCCTGCCTCAGAGCCAGACAGGTATGGACTGAAGCCTCTACGAACGGTGAGCTGAAATAAACCTTTGCCCCATTAACTTTGGGTGTTGGGTATTTTGTCTCAGCAACAAAAAAGGTAACTAAAAGAGCCAGGCATGGTGGCGCATGCCTGTAATCCCAGCACTCGGGAAGCTGAGGCAGGAGGATCATTGTGAGTTCGAGACCAGCCTGAGCTACAAAGGGAGCTCAAGGCCAGCCTGAACTGCATATGAGACCCTGTCTCAAAAAGACAAAAAAAAAAAAAAAAGTAACTAAGACAAATGTAGTATTTTCATACGTGCATATAACATTTTGTTTGTTTCTTTTTAAGAAAGGGTCAGGCTGGGGATATAGCTCAGCGGCATTGTTATAAGCAGCTGAGTTAGATAGAAATATTATAGGCAGTCAGGCAGGGCCAGGCCCTCAAGGAGCCAACTGAAAGACAAGATAAGATATGTATTTGCTGTGAGCCAGACCTCAAGACAGAAGATTAAACAAATGTACCCACAAGCCTCCCTAGGAGTAAACATCAGGGATTGACGTTCTAAATAGGTAGCGATCACCTTGAAGAGTCCCTGACCCACCCCCGTACAGGAAAAGCCCCTGTTCTGTATTCGCGCCCGCTTGCTAAGTGACTCTCTTCTCCATTTGATCCCAATTTAATCAGTTTTACTGGAACAATTCTTATTGGCTGACCATAGTTTTGTCCGTTTTCCCCTACCTTGGACCCACCTCACCTCGTGGTTTTGCTCTATAAAAGTCCCCAGGAAAGACAGAGTCTTGGGGTAACCCAGTCGGGCCCCCTTGTTTCTCCCTCTTGGACAGAAGCTTTTTTTCCCTCAATAAATATATGCTGCTCTTAACCTCCGTTGTTCCTAAAATTCATTCTTGGATTTTAGAGAACATGAACTCGTCCCAGATAGCGTTCAGGTTGGAAGTTTTTATTTTCCTGTATCAGCACAATGCCTGCCTGGCAAGCATGAGGTTGTGAGTTCGATTCTCAATACCAAAAATAAAGGGTCTTGTTACGTAGCCCCGGGTGGCCTTGAACTCACAGCAATCCTCTTGTCTCAACCTCACCAGTGCTGGGTTTATAAGGGTACACCACCACACCCAGCTACAACTCTTTTTTTGATCTCGGAGCCTTTATACTGAGCCATATTCCTAACACTTTTATTTGTGTTGTTTTATGGGTTTTTGTTTGTTTGTTTGTTTTTGAGGCAGGGTCTCACGATATAGTGCAGCCTGGCCTCAAACTAACAGCGATCCTCCTGCCTCAGCCTCCTAGAAAACTGGGATTACAGGCTTGCACCATCGTGCCTAGCTGCATATACCAATTTGAGTATATTCATGTCCTCTTTACTCTCCCATCCACCTCCCTCTGTGGGAAATAATTTGTAATGACAAGTATTTCAAACGCTGGATCTCCATGAGGTTCCCTAGGGGGCAGTGTTACCCCAAGCCTGGCCTTTTTGTTTTTAAAACAAGGTCTTGCTATGAAGTTCAGGCTAGTTTTGACTTTACCATCCAGCCCAGGCTGAACTCGAACTTGTGACAATCCTCCTGCCTCAGCCTCCCAAGTGCTGGGATTACAGGCGTGCACCAGCACTTCTGGTCCATTTATTTATTTATTTATTTACGTATTTATTTGGTGATGGAGGTCTGCTCTAACTAAAAACTTGTGAGCACTGAAGAAAACATTATTTTTCAAGCACCTACACTTCCTGTTTCTTTTACTTTTTGTTTAATTTTTTTTTTTTTTAATTTTTTTTTTTGGTTTTTCTCCGGTACCGGGAACCGAACTCACAATCTTGTGCTTGCCAGGCAGGCGCTTTGCTGCTGAGCTAAATCCCCAGCCCCTTTTTTAATTTTTTTTTTTTTGTCTTTTTGAGACAGGGTCTCACTGTGCAATTCAGGCCAGCTGTGAGCTCACTTTGTAGACCAGGCTGGTCTCAAACTCGCAATGATCCTCCTGCCTCAGCCTCCCGAGTGCTGGGATTACAGGTGTGTGCCACCACACCCGGCTACTTTTTGTTTTAAATCTAATGGTAGGGTGCATAAGTTGTTTTTGTAGTTGGCAGTTGTCAGAACTCACCCAAGTGTATCCTGCGGTTTCTTCAAGTGATTGTATGCAAATTCCACTTTAAGGAAAAACTACACAAAGACTGAGCTGTAGTCACTCACGGAGCACTGAAGTATGAGGTGGGAAATGTAGACATAAGTGTAACTTACATTCAGATGCAGAAAAATTGGACTGCAGGTGCAGCCAAGCGGTGAGCGCCTGCCTAAAATGGGTGAGGCCCTGGGGTGGATCCCCAGGACTTCCACTCAACCATGCAATCAATCTTAATCTTAACATGGATGAGTGGTGGGCATCTGTTGGTCCTGACTACTTAGGAGGCTGAGGCAAGAGGATCTCTTGAGCCCAGGGGTTTGAAGCCAACCTGGACAATATAGTGAGACTCCATCTCAAAATAAGAAACAGATACAAAGGTGATCAGCCGGCTAACACAGATCTTGGCCCTGGGCCCTGAACGCTAAAACCTGTCCTCCCCGCCTGAATGGACAAGACACCCATCACCCTCAGTGTGTTCACACTAAGGCCGTTCTCTTCCCTCAGCACTTCTGTCCTGGGGTCTCCTCCTCAGAGGTAAATTCTTACTCCCCAGACTGAGAGCTGGGAGAAACTAAACATTCCTCCTTCCCATGTGTGTGTCTGCATGCACTTGTCGGCCTGGATATAGAGGTGGGTGGATGACACTGGGTGTGGTGGTGGATACTTGTAATCCCAGCACTCTGGGAGGCTGAGGCAAGAGGATCCCAAATTCATATACAGCTTGGACAATTGAGTAAAACCTTGTCTCAAAATAAAAATAACAAAGGGGCTGGTGATATAGGTTAGTGTGAAGGCCCCGAGTTCATCCCCAGTGCCCTCCCCACACACGGGAGTTAGGGACGGCTGCATGCATAGATAATAGGGACAGATATAAACAAGAATTTTGCAAGAACTGACCTTACAAAGATCAATTTTGTAAGAATTTTTGCAAGAATTAATCTTGTTTCCTTTTAAAATGGACTCAGTAAATTCTCCGCGCCCCCCACCCACCAGGAATTGAACTCACAACCTCGTACTCGGCAGACAGGTGCTGTGCCGCTAAGCTAAATCCCCAGCCCTCAATAAATTCTTTATTGAGGACATATCCTGTGCCTTACTGTGTGCTAGGTGGTATGCTAGGAAAGGACAAAGAAAAAAGGAAATTTATTAATTTATTTTTGAAACCAGGTCTGGCTGTGTAGCCCAGGCTGGTCTCAAACTCAAGGTGATCCTCCTGCCTCAGCCTCCTGAGTGCTGGGATTACAGGTGTGAGCCACCATGCCCAGCTTCAGAAACAACTATTGTGTTTTGTTTCTCCTTGGAGAATGAATTGAAGTTGAAAGCGAGAACA